AAAAAAAAAAAAAAAAAAAAAAAAAAAACTGCAACCAAGCCTATAAACAAGAGGATCTATTCTTGGAGATAATAGACCTAAACTCCTGCCACTCTAAGACAATGTTATTGACAATCACCGCTTCCAGTATGATTGTTATCTGAAATACCCACAAATTGCGGGTCTTCCATATCCACCAAAGGATATAAGTATAAAGTTGACTACTTTTCATCTATTTGCGTGTGCCCCAAGGTAAAAACCATCTACCACCAATCAGAGAAGCCTACCATCTCGTGCCCTTCTTTAGTCCACGTACTGGAGCTAAGTGCCAACCAACTGAGACCTTACTACAATGCCAAATGAGGTGCTCAACATATTCCTCCTCTTCACCACACACTTGACAAACCACATCAACATCAACTCCCATTAGCCTAAGATTTAATTTAATATGAAGGATCCCGAAAAGACAACTCCACACAAAATGTTTTAATTTTTCTTTTACCTCTAGCCTGTAAGTCCTCTTCAATACTTGTCTAATAGTAGGGGCATTGTGGCTATTCTCAGGTTTGTCCAACAAAAGAGCTTAGAAAACTTGCCTTTGCTATCCAAACTCTAGTAGAATTTCTCATCCTCAGTTGGTCATATCCTTTGGTTTGAATAATAGCCGCAGTTATTTGGTCATCAAAGAGAATTTGAATTAGTTCCCTGTTCAATTTCCTTCCACCACTTCTCATAATCTCAAAAACTCAGGCGATGTTGCTTTGGGTTCTCTACTTGAATTTAACACTCCTACCCTATAGTCTCTACACTCAGCTGTACTACAATTTTTTTAGTTCCTTCCATTCGTAATTTTGACCTCTACTAGCCTGTCAAAATTTTTCTTTACCTACCTCCAAGTATTCCAGAGCCAAGAGCCTCCATACTTCTTAGTGGCCTCAAACAAAGAGCTAGAGGAAATATCTGGACTTAAGCACTTTGCTAACTAGGCTATGAGGATTAGATAGAAGTCTCTAAAGGTGCTACATTATTAGGGCTTCATTAAAAAGCTTTAAATCTTCAAAGCCTAGTCCTTCTAACTTCTTAGGTTAAGGCAATTGATTCCAAGCCTTCCACTGCAACCCTAACTCTTGATTCTCTCCTTTGGACCATTAGAAATCAGCTGTTAACGTGGAAGTTTCTTTGTAAAGAGACACAGACAATTTAAAGCAAGACAATCAAAACAAGTAAGGCATTGATTACAGATTTGATAAGAACTTCACTGTCGGTTGTGGACAGAAATTTGTTGTTTCAGCTAAAGAGTGTTCTTTTTACCGTCTCCAAAACAAAAGAAATGTATCTTTTTTTTATTTGCACAATACTCAAGGGAAGATCAAGATATTTGATGGATTGATGGGCTGAAAATCCTATCCAAAGTACGATAATATGTCTCAGTCATTTTGTTCTTATTTATAGTTAACTCCCTTTTAGCATTGGTATGAAAATTACACTATCAATGAACTTTATATACGTACGTACTAGCTTCAAGAGGCTTAAAACGAAGAAACCCAAAACCTAAAGTCCAATAAGGTGTGGTCACCTAGAGATTGAGTCTGATTGGAATGAGATTCAGAGGGCTTTAACCGCCACAAGTATCTTTGAACTATTATGTGAAATGTGGTACCAGAGCCTGGTTGATTGGGCGACGGAGATGACGGGAGGATCGAAATTCGAGGTCTCGAAATTTGATGGTCATGGCAATTTCGGATTATGGCAGACGAGAGTAAAAGATTTATTGGCGCAGCAAGGAATTCAGAAAGGGTTGCGTGCAGAAAAGCCAAAAGGGATGGAAGACGATGATTGGCAAGATCTGCAGGAACGGGCGGCCGGGACGATTCGGTTGTGCCTTGCAGATGAAGTTATGTATCACGTTATTCATCTCAAATCGGCGGATGATATCTGAAAGAAACTGGAATCGCAGTTTATGTCGAAAACCCTAACGACAAAACTGTATCTGAAGCAGAGGTTATACGGGCTGAAGATGCAGGAGGGGACTGATTTAGGGCAACATGTGAATATCTTCAATCAGGTTGTCACGGATTTGGCTTCACTCGAAGTCAAGATTGAAGATGAAGACAAGGCGATGATTTTACTGTGTTCGTTACCTCCTTCTTACGAACATATGGTGACTACCCTTACATATGGGAAAGAAACGATCAAGAATGAGGAGATTACTTCAGCGTTGTTGGCTCACAACCAGCGGAAACAGAAATCTGGAGAGTCATCTTCTCAAAGTGACAGTTTATATGTGAAGGGTAACCAGGATCGTGGAAGGAAACAAGTGCGGGATAATTCAGGAAATCGGAATTTCAGATCCAAGTCGCGAGACAAATCGAAAGGAAGAAAAACTGTGACGTGTTATAAGTGCAAGGAACAAGGGCACTTTAAACGGGATTGCCCAAAGTGGAAGAAACAGACTGTTGATATGTCATCCAAGTCTGCGAATGTGGTACAAAATGAGGAATCCAATTGCAGTGATGGAGATATGTTATCTATTTCGACTACGAAGTATGATGATGCTTGGATTCTCGATTCTGGATGTTCATATCATATAACGCCTAACAGAGAGGGGTTTGCTACTTATAAACCAGGCAACTCGGGTTCTGTTTTTCTTGGTGATGATAGATGCTGCGGTATTGTTGGTATTGGAGATGTCAAAATCAGGATGTATGATGGAACTGTTAGGACATTATGTGATGTGAGACATATCCCTGAGTTGAAGAAGAGTTTGATCTCTTTGGGTACTTTGCATAGAAATGGTTTCATTCCCAAGGCTGATGAGGATAGGGAAACCATTAAGATTGTGAAGGGTGCTTTGACTGTGATGAAGGGGAGGATCACTGCAGGGAACATTTACAAACTGTTGGGGAAGTACAGTTGTAGGTGGAGTCCATTCGGTGGAGTCATGTGAAGATAGCACAAAATTGTGGCACATGCGTCTTGGACATCTTAGTGAACATGGCATGACTGAATTACATAAGAGGGGGCTTCTGCATGGTGTTAAAACTTGCAAAATCAATTTCTGCAAGTTTTGTGTTCTGGGAAAGCAGACAAAAGTCAGTTTCAAGACTGGGAAGAAGAAGACAAAAGGAATTCTGGATTATGTACATTCAGATGTGTGGGGTCCTACTAGAGTGACATCGATTGGTGGTTCTTTGTACTATGTGACCTTTATTGATGATTTTTCGAAGAAAGTTTGGGTGTATTTCATGAAGCATAAATCTGAAGTTTTTGCTAAATTCAAGCTATGGAAGGCTGAGGTGGAGAACCAGACTGGTAGGAAAATCAAGTACTTAAGGTCTGATAATGGTACAGAGTACACCGATTCACAGTTCCAGAAGTTTTGTGAGGAGCATGGGATTCAAAGGTATTTTACAGTGCGTAAAACACCACAGCAGAATGGTGTTTCTGAGAGGATGAATCGGACACTGGCTGAGAGGGCGAGGTGTTTAAGATTGAATGCGGGTTTGCCAAAGAGTTTCTGGGCTGAGGCTGTAAGTATGGCTTGTTATTTAATTAACAGATCACCACGTGCATCTCTGGATGGCAAAGTTGCAGAAGAAGTATGGACAGGTAATGATGTTAGTTTTGATCATTTGAAGATTTTTGGTTGTCCTGCTTATGTTCATATTCCTGCTGATGAGAGGTCAAAACTTGATGCTAAATCAAAGAAGTGCACTTTTCTGGGCTATAAGAAAGGTGTGAAGGGATACAAGTTTTGGGATCCAGTTGAGAAGAAGACGGTGATTAGTAGAGATGCAGTGTTTGATGAACAGTCTATGTTGGGATCAGATGCAGATAAGGTACAGGTGGAGTTGGAACATGTGCCAACAGTTCTTGATAAGGGAGAGAGTTCGAGTTCTGCACCTGATGATGTTGATCATGATGTTTCTGGCCCAACTGATGTGCCAGAGAGCTACAAGTTAGCTCGG